TACCTGACTAGCCCAGTGGTTTTTCCTACTCTCTTCAGTCTAAGCTTGAATTTTGCTATGAGAAGCTGATGATCAGAGCCATAATCAGCTCCAGGTCTTCTTTTTGCTGACCGTATAGAGCTTCTCCATCTTTGTCTGCAGAGAATATAATCAATCTGATTTTGGTATTGCCCATCCGGTGATTTCCATGTATAGAGTCGCCTCTTGTGTTGTTGGAAAAGAGGGTTGGTGATGACCAGCTTGTTCTTTTGACAAAACTTTATTAGCTGTTGCCCTGCTTCATTTTGCACTCCCAGGCCAAACTTTCCTGTTGTTCTTTTTATCTCTTGACTCCCGACTTTAGTATTCCAATCCCCTAGAATGAGAAGAACATCTTTCTTTGGTGTCACTTCTAGAAGGTGTTGTAAATCTTCATCAAACTGGTCAATTTCAGTGTCCTCAGCACTGGTGGTTGGAGCATCAACTTCGATTACTGTGATGTTGAAAGGTCTGCCTTGGATTCGTATTGACATCATTCTATCATTTTTGAGATTATATCCCAGTACAGCGTTTCCCACTCTTTCGTTGACTATGAGGGCTACTCCATTCCTTCTACGGGATTCTTGCCGACAATAGTAGATATGATAATCATATGAATTGAATTCGCCTATTCCTATCCATTCTAGTTCACTGACGCCCAGGATGTCAATGTTTATTCTTGCCATCTCCTGTTTGACCACATCCATCTTCCCAAGGTTCATAGATCTTACATTCCAGGTTCCTATGCAGTATTTTTCTTTGCAGTATCGGACTTTCCTTTCACTTCCAGGCATGTCCACCGCTGAGCGTCCTTTCGGCTTTGGCCCTGCCACTTCATTAGCTCTGGAGCTACTTGTACTTGTCCTCCGCTCTTCCTCAGTAACATGTTGGACATCTTCCAACCTGAGGGGCCCATCTTCCAGCGTCATATCTTTTAGCCTTTTATTTCTGTTAATGGGGTATTCTTGGCAAAGATACTGGAATGGCTTGCCAATTCCTACTCCAGGTGGATCGCGTTTAGTCAGAACTCTCCACTATGTCCTGTCCGTCTTGGGTGTCCCTGCACGGCATAGCCCATAGCTTCTCTGAATTACTCAAGCCCCTTCACCATGACAAGGCAAGCAATCCATGAAGAGATACCAAATAGCGTAATAATACTATTTGTGTGTTGTCAATCAATTCTGACTTAGAGAGATCCTTTTCAGAGTTTTCCAGGTAGAGAGTACTCAAAAGTGAATTACCATTTCCTCCTTCTCTGGGCATCCTGGGACTGTGCAGCTTGCCCATGGCCACACAGCGTGGCTTTCTCCCAGGTGGCACAGTGGGGAATCAAACTCCCAACGCCTGATTCCACAGACAGCCCATAAATAGCATCTTGTGTGTGTTTTGTGCTGTCAAGTCAGAAGCAACTTATAGCAACGCTAATAAGTGGTTTTACCAGTTCTACTCCCCCAGTGAGTTTCCATGGCCAGGTGGGGATTCAAATCCTGGTGTCCAGAATCCTCGTCTGCCACTTTATACACTATACCTCACTGGGAATCCCAAAATAGCATCTTAGATGGGTAGAAATATATGTGTAAAATAAGAATTAACAGATGCAGGGATCAGTCAAAGAATGAACTTGCTAGTCCTTCCACACATGAATCTTTGATTTCCCCCAGTATTCTTTTTCAGAACTCTGATTCAGTGGCTGGTGGTTGTGGGGACTGTCATTTTTGACTGTTGCTACTGTTAGATCAGCCTGTGCCAACACACAGCATATCTTCTGCTGTGATGGACTGGATGGACACAAAGGAACTTTAGAATCTGCCCTATACCTGTTAAGTTCTTGGTCCATGTAGCCTAATTTTATCAACTCTGAGGGACAAGGGCTATCCAGGGTTTCAGGCTAGAGTATTTTCCATCCCCACCTGGAAATGCCAAGAATTGAACCTGGGATCTTCTGCATACAAACCAAAGGTGCTGCCATGTGCTATGGTAGGAGATGGAGCAAACACGTTTGGAAGCTACCAAGGTTATTGAAGACAGTCAGAAACCCTTGACAGTTTGCTAGAAAACCATCACTCATCCAAGGAACTACCAGTAAATCCATTCCACCTTCTGCCCAAACTTGGTTTGTTCTGAGAATAGACAAATCTGTATTTTTCTGTTTTTAGCAAGCTGCTTAATGATTTATTTATTAGATTCCTATCCTACCCATCTAGACCAAAGGTCTATTCTGGGCGGTTTACAAATTTAAAAACAATAAAACCAATAAGCGTATGTGACGGTTGCCCCACATCACTCCTGTCACTCACAATCTGGTTCTCATTTGCATGAGCTTATGAAAGGAGTAGAGGGATGGAGTCAAAAGAGAGAGGCAGAGAGAGAGAGATAGAGATAGAAGAAAGAATAGAGATAAGCTGGTCAAGATAAACAGAGGTGGTGAAGGTGGCAGAATACATGCTATTTGAATGATTTGATCAAATGCATTGAATAAAGAACATCTGTGATTATAATTAAAGTTATTGCCTTTCAATAAATCAGTTCTGTTGGCAGCAACCTGACAAGTATCTGACTAAAGTTCATTATTCATCATGGATAAAGGAAATCCAGTGGTGGCAGTGAGTGAAAAGGGGGAACATCCCAATTGTTATCTGATGGTGGGAAGACCTAGCGTGAGCCCTTTGGAAAAACAAGCAGAGGTTACGTGGTAAATGTCACAAGTGGTGTCCAGTGGCGGGATATGAAAAGGATTCCAGTAAA